CTCTGTCAGTCCCCACTAAGTCCCTTTCTGCCCCTGGCCGTGTTTGCCAACACTGCCACTGGACCGAGACCCACAGGCCCGACCACTAAGTCCCACGGTCCTCTGGGACTTCCTCACCACACGACTGTGTCCTTGGTCACTACCCCAGAGGACTGCTCCTCTTCCTTTCCACAGTCTGGGCCTTTGGGACAACATTTCGGAACACCGTGGCCTTACGCGAGCCACCTAGGTACTCTCCTCGCCTTCTGCCCTTGGGTGCTCTAGCCATGGGCTTAGAGCGGGTTCCATTGAGCCACACTAGGTATCCAAGTAGGTAGTGCCACCCACACTTGGACTGGGAGCATCGGCCAGTCGATCTCCCGGGGGAACTAGAGCCGGCCCTTGAACACTTCACCAAGCTACCCCGCTTGTCGGTCTGTGTTCACTCTAGTCTTGGACTTCCCAGTGGGCAGCTCATCACCCAACACTGGGTCTGGCCTTCCTGGGCCAAACTGGCCTTTCCTGGCCAAACTGGCTCCACTGCAGTCCTCCCCCTACTATACTTTTGGGGCTCACCAAACCCCCCAGGGTCTGGGAGACGAACGCTTTGGGCTTTCACCCTCTCAGGCTCCGGACTCGGACTCGGACTCGGACTCGGACTCGGACTCGGATTCGGACTCGGACTCGGGCTCGGGCTTGGTCTCGGCCTCGGCCTCGGTCTCGGTCTCGGTCCCGATCTCGGTCTCGGTCTCGGTCTCGGTCCCGGTCTCGGTCCCGGTCTCGGTCCCGGTCTCGGTCTCGACTTCGGACTCCATCTCGGACTCCATCTCGGACTCCATCTCGGGTCCATCTCGGGTCCATCTCGGACTCCATCTCGGACTCCATTTCGGGTCCATCTCGGGTCCACCTCGGACTCCATCTCGGACTCCATCTCGGACTCCATCTCGGGTCCATCTCGGACTCCACTTCAGACTCCAACTCGGGTCCATCTCGGGTCCACCTCGGACTCCATCTCGGACTCCACTTCGGACTCCAACTCGGGTCCATCTCGGGTCCACCTCGGACTCCACTTCGGACTCCAACTCGGGTCCATCTCGGACTCCACTTCGGACTCCAACTCGGGTCCATCTCGGACTCCACTTCGGACTCCAACTCGAGTCCATCTCGGACACTCCCACGTGTCATGTGTTGGTCCTTTTGGGTCCCTTTTTGGAGCCTTGCCTTTTGCTCGCTTCGTGCTCGTTCCTCGAGCACTTTGTTGGGAGTTCCACTCCCGCTCTTGACTTTTCAAGTCGGAGCTTCTGGTCCAAACGTGTTACGCTCGTTTGGCTCTCGCTTCGGCCACTACCATGTGGCGCCCTTCCGGCTCCACTTTGGGGCCTAGGGATTTTGTGTCTCATAAGCAACCGCCGATGGCATAGAATCCTCATCTAGAAAATCCATAGAGGCTGGAATAACAGGCTCGTCAGAAACATGAGAAAAGAATGGAGAAGGAAGAGGAGCCCGAGAAAGGGCATCAGCATCAGCCAAAGAACTCCCTGGGCGATGAACAACATCAAAATCATATATTTGAAGCTTCAAAGCCCATCGAGCAGTATGACCAACCAAGTTTTTTTGCTTCAATAATGAAGTAACAGCAGCATGATCACCTTCAAGTAACGTCCAAAAACCATGTAGATATGCATGAAGTTTCTCGAAACCCCAAACTGCTGCTAAACACTCATTCTCTGTCGTGGAGTAATTCATTTCCGCTGGTTGTAATGTACGGCTTATATATGCAATGGGATGGCGCTGACCAGGCACACTCGAGCTCTTTTGCATCAACACACCTCCAAGACCAATGTCAGAAGCATCCACGTGCAAAATAAAAGGTCAAGTGTAGTTAGGATATGCCAAAACCGAAGGAGTCATCAATAGCTCTTTGAGATCCTTGAACGCCCGCTCACAATCTGGAGACCAGATGAAAGATGATGTTGACGACTTCAACAACGCTCGCAACAGTGCAGTGCAATCAGAAAGATGATCCACAAAACGACCGAGATACTGCACCTTGCCCAAGAAGCACTGCACATCATTCACACACCTCGGAGTAGGGAACTTCAGAACAGCCACAAGTTTGTCAAGATCAACTTGCAAACTCTCACGAGAAATACGGTATCCAAGATAAGTTGTATCCTTGGACCCAAACACGCACTTCGTCCGCTTCAGCTTTAAACCAACATCGCGTAGCCGATCTAACACTTTACAAACATCACGAACGTGTTCCTCCCACATTCCCTTCGAGTGGATCAAGACATCATCAATGAAGTCAACAGTCACCTCTGGCATATCGCAAAGAACCTCGTCCATCATCCGTTGGAAAGTTGCTGGAGCATTGTTTAAACCAAACGGCATCACCAAGAACTCGTACAAACCAAATGGTGTACGAAATGCAGTCTTAGGAATATCTTCTTCGGCCATCGGTACATGCTAGTACCCAGAAGCAAGGTCTAGCTTGGTGAACCAACAACTTCGCCCTAGACGATCCAAGAGATTTGCAGTGTGAGGAAGAGGATACACATCTGGGATCGTCACTTCGTTTAACAGACGATAGTCGATACAAAAACGAATACTCCCATCAGGCTTCGTCACAAGATGACATTCACATGCCCAAGGACTCCACAACTTCCAAATAACACCCTTCTCCAACATCTCTTTGACATTTGCACGTAAAATCTTGATCTCCTTGGGTGACCGACGACAAACGAGAACCTTGATTAGATGAGCATCCTTGGTTAGAATTAGATGATGTGTGGTAATCTTGGCCCCAGACGATAGGTCAAATTCAAAGAGATCAAAATACTCCTTCATCAACCGGTCCACCGCTGCAACACAAAGATCGTCGGAGGGATCGGAAAAGGGAAGAGCAGAATAAGATGGAAACACAGGAGGAAATAGTGGGGAAACAAAAGTAATGGAAGCAGAGGTAGAAGTAGAGGGACGAAGAGGTATAGAAGTGAGAGGAATGGATGAAACATAAGGAAATATGAGACAAGGGGGAGAAGCTTCAAAATCACACTTAGCATGATTGCATTGCAACTAATCCATACCAAGAATGAGGTCAAAAGCTTGACTTGGCACCACCCGCAATGACTGCAACTCAAGCTCGAGATCACCCACACGCACAACCCCTCATCCCGTGCACATGCATGTGTATGGCCTTTGCCATAAAGAATGAAAACTGGTTTCGCCACATGACGCAAGTGTAGACGGCAACGTGTGGCAATAGGTCGAGCAATAAAAGATAAACTCGAACCTGTATCAACTAACATGGAGAGAATAATAGGAGACCTTTTGTTATAAAAACGAGCTTGGAAAGTAAACACTAAATGAACCGGTGCCGAGTGAACCCCTTGATGATACTCCTGAAAGAAAGGAGGGGTCACTGACTTATTCACGCAAGGTCCCTCCGTTACTCGTGCGACTCCTCGTTTCCCGGATGTATCTCGGTGTCCAAACCGTCCACTGCAGCAACACCAACGGGACGTTGCTGACGCCAAGGTCTCCACCCAGGAAATGGAGGTCGCCAATCCGGAAAACGCCGACAACGCCGATAAGTATGACCAACTTCATCACATGCCCAGCAGCGAACATCAAGGCCACGACCACGTCCTCGCCCTTGTCCTTGGACTCGAGCAGCAGCAGCATCAACCTCCATTGGAACAGGACCATCACTTATAGGAAGTGGAGCTGAAGGACGTGCAGCGAGAAGTGGAAGAGGTGACATCTTATAACGTTGTGCCAAGTGAAGAGCATCGTCAAGGGTGGCGGGAGCAAGTGCATGCACAAGTTCGACAAGATCTTAACGAAGTGCTGGCCACAACATTCTTAGCTTGATCCGCTCCGACATATTTGGCTCTGCACGAAGCAAAAGACTTCGGAAACAAATGCCAAATTGCATCACTGACTCAGATGGCCCTTGGCGAAATGATGCAATTGTTGGAAGGCATCATCACAGTCATTGGCATTTCTGAAAGCGCGTTTGAAGACGTTCGGGAGAACACTCCAATCCCCACGAGTGGTTGCACTCAAACCATTGTACCACTACAATGCCGTCCCTTGAAGACACGTGGGAAACTCACACAAATGTCAAGCATCATCCCAAGAATGATATGTGGCAATCACCGTGAAGTGATCGAACCAATTGTACACATCATCCCCAGGATTCCCGCGAAAGAACTCCGGCCAAACGCAAGGATTGGCACCAAGAGTAGAAGGAGTTGTACCACATGCCGTGAACACCGCCATCAATTGAGTTTGGTTATTCAATTGCAAGCACATAGCATCAAGCAATTGTACCAACTGCTGCTCCAGAGTCAAAGGAGGAGATTGTTGATCTGCCATGAAGACGAATGAAAAAGAAAGAAAAAAAGAAGAGAAATAACAAAAAGCTAGAAGGAAATGATAGATCTAGACAATGCAAAAAGTTAGATCTAAACCAAAATCCTAAAAGGAAAGAACAAAAGAAAGAAAATGAAAAAAGCTAGATCTAAACTAAAATCCCAAATCCAAGCATTCCTCAGGGATAATCAAAAGTGCCCCTTATCTCCACCAATGTGAGTGCTTGGAATATGGAAAGGGAATATAGAAATGTGCATATCAATTAGCCCAAAAACCCTAGTTTATATATAGAAACAAGTGGTCTGGATTGAAACCAATCCGACGGCTATCAAAATCCCACTACGCTAATATTAGTATACGGCATCATAGCCGTACATTTGGCCCTCACAATATTTGTTATATATTATATCACTAATATATTCATTATAAATTATTTTAAAACATTTTTTATTACACCATGGATAAGCTTATAACTCAACCTTTCAACTAACGCTACAAGGCAAAAAAAACACATGGGATATGGCAGGCACAAAGTCAGTGTAAGAAGCGTAAGGAAGTGGAAGACAGTGTGAAACACATGGGATAATGCAAGAGAAGCTTGCCACTATATAAATTGGCATACGTTCAAAGAGCTCTATAACTTCACACTCATCCCTTTGGCTTCTAAAAGCTTTAGTCTTTTCTTAAGAGTTCAGAGACATGGCTCTCACAGCAGCTCCAAAGTTCTACACCATCGAGTCTGCTGCTTATCCTGGCTATTGCATTACTCAGCAAGGCACCCAGATTGTTCTCAGGTCCAAGGACGCGCTCAACCCCTTCCAGGTAAAAATCTTTGAAAACTTTGCCGGTTGTCGATCATCATGGGAAACTCTTGTGCAGCTGTGGTACAGGGATGAGTCATGGAACTTGCTGAACCAGGAATTCAGGGACAGCTCCGCGTTCGTGTTTGTAAACCACGGCTCTAAGAAAGCTCTCCGGTCCCAGGCACACTCAACGTCTCGAAGCAAGGTAAACAGAAAATAGTATTCATACTATACACTGTTTCTGATCATATGGAATTTTGATGGCAAAAGGCTACTATTGGAGACTATGATCCGGCAGTCCAAGACGATCATCTCCTGTGGCGTATTTCCGGGAGCCACGAAAATCAAGTCTTGATCACCATGACTGGAAACAAGTCATCTTATCTGAGCCACACTTCCTCAAGTGCTAGCTTCAAGGATGGGGTGCCAGTGGTGACATCCAACAGCGATGGAAACTCCCACTGGAAGCTCGTCGCTTACGGTAAGCATATGATTTGTTCTTCTCGGTTGTGGTTCATATGATGATGCTACACAGAGCCTTCTCAAGAGTACAGGATTATATGCGACTGGTATGAGCAATACTTGACTTGGAAGCAGCAAAATGTGGACGTAACTTTCAAGAATGCAATCAAGCACAATGACGAGACAAATGTGGTGGCTATTAGTCCAAACAACGTTCCTCTCGACGGCATGGTCTGTACTTTCGTCGTTCTTTGTAATCTTATCTCATTCTATTTGATTACATATAGACATGGTACAAGGTTCCCGCTGGAGGAAGAGATGATACCACGTACTTCACCTCGTTCGTTCTCATAAACAAGGTGACTGGTCTTGCTCTCAAGGGGTCAACCAAGCCGGGAGACAAGGTAGCTAGTGCACACTGTTGAAAACTTGAAGAAGTTCGCAAACTAAACGAATTGGATGATCATGGCAGGTGCTCTTGACTCAATATGATCCTCTCGACTACGGTTTCGTGTGGTCTGAGAACCGATTCCAGGCTTCAAAAACGGACTATCTCGCGATCAATCTGGATGGAACAAACTTGCAGTGGTCTCTGCAGGACAACAATCAGTACCAGAACAGTGCGTGGTATCATCCTCTCGTGCTTCGCCCGGCATCTGCAAACCAAGGATTTGTTCAGCAGCAGGCATGGAAATTCAATCCAGTGGTGGCAGGGAATTGACTATCAGCCATGTTGTATACTGAGGGACACGCTTACCACTTTTCTTCTTGCAAATAACAAGACTTTTCACGGGAAAAAGAAGCTGAGCAGTCCCCATTTGTTTCCTTTTCCGATGGAAGCCATGAGCTTTCGTTCAATTCCAGTGTCTGCAAGGATCGAAGATTTAAGAAAACATAAAAACATTATGACTATCGACTATCATTCCATATAGACCATAAAACCATACATATCCACCGAGTCTAGAATTTACTACGTACCAGATCCCTTTGCAACCTCAAGCAGGTTTCTTACGACTCCACGAGCATCAACCGAAAACTCCGTTTCATGGCAACATCCTTTGTGTATTTCTGTGAAATGTAAAATAAATAAATAAATAAACTTTTGTGAGCTCTCAGTAAGATGAAGGCTTTAGATGATTACCGTGGTCACTGGTGCCTCATTGTCTCAGATGACAATATCGCGAGCATCTATGTCCTTTCCAAACTCCGTCTTCCAAGTTTCCCACCTGTCTCAAACTGGCGCGGCCAAAACAATGGCTTTGGCGATAGTATATGTTCTTGGAACAGTTAGCTGCACCCCTGCACAACGATATAAAAAACTTCCATCAACGTGAAGCTTAGCTTACAGTTGTGCTATTCGTTTCGCAGCGTAGTCCATCCAGCCATCGGGAAGTTTCCGATGCTGCAACCTCAAAGTGTTACTTCCAGAGCAATGAAGAGCAAGAAAGACCGATCAATTCACATCCAACAATCGCGGCAAGATCTTGCCTCACCTTCGCAGATCAGGGACGCCAGCGCCGCAATCGCTGCCGGCTTCTTCTACGCCATTTCTCGCTCCCTCCTCCCTCGCATTCTCTGTAAACCTAGCCAATCGCCTGCAGTCCGATAGGTTACTAGTTCGATCCTAGTTGCCTCCTTATCCGATGAATCCCATCGGATAAGGCGCTCCACGAGGTTGTGGTGGTATAAAATGGGCCTAGATCTCAGAGTTACTCTAGATCTTAAGAATGGAACCTCTCACAGCAGTTCCAAAGCTCTACACCATCGAGTCCACTGCTTATCCTGGCTACTGCATTACTCAGCAAGGCACCCAGATTGTTCTCAAGTTCAAGGATGCGCTCAATCCCTTCCAAGTATCAATCTGTATCAATCCAGATCTAGCATCTTGGTTTTGATCTCTTGTGCAGCTCTGGTACAGGGATGAGTCATGGCAGTTCCTGGGCGAGGATAACAGTGACCTCTCCGCGTTGGTGTTTATAAACCACGGCTCCAAGAAAGCTCTTCGCTCCCAGTCATCCTCAACTTCCCGGAGCATTGCCAAGGTATATAAATCACTACAAGTTTGTCTCACACTTGAATTTTTCTCTATCCAGCTTACTGTTGGAGATTATGATCCGGCAGTTGAGAACAATTCTCTCCTCTGAAGCTCGGACGATCAAGTCTTCGTCACAGAGACTGGGAATTCGTCCGTGTTTTTGAGCCACATTTCGTCGTCGAGGTCCAGCTTTAAAGACGGGGTGCCAGTGGTGACATCTGCCCAGGGTGAAAACTCTAGGTGGAAGATCGTTGCTTATGGTAATCCTCTAGACTTGTGGTCAATTCCTTTTGATTTTCTCGTTGTGCTGCACAGTGCCTTCTCAAGTGTACAGGATTCTGTGTCACTGGTTTGGGAATTACTTGACTTGGAAGCAGCAAAATGTGGACGTAACTTTCAAGGATGCAATCAAGCACAACGACTAGATAAACGTGGTGGCTGTTAGTCCAAACAACATTTCTCTCAACGGCATGGTTTGTGACTTTGTCTGATACTATCATCTTGGATCTCATTCGTATTATTGTAATAGGCATGGTTCAAGGTTCCTGCTGGTGGCCGAGACAATACCACGTACTTTACCTCGTTTATCCTAATAAACAAGACTGGTCTAGCACTCAGGAGACAAGGTAAGTCCTAAAACTTTTGAAGGACTTTGCAAGCTAAACGAAAGATACCTTTTTCATGGCAGGTGCTCTTGACTCAATTTGATCCTCTCGACTACGGTTTTGTGTGGTCTGAGGACCGATTCCAGGCTTCAAACACGGACTACGTGGCCATCAATCTGGATGGAACGAACTTGCAGTGGTCTCTGCAGAACGACGATCAGTACCAGAACAGTGCGTGGTATCATCCTCTCGTTCTTCGCCCAGGATATGTTGAGCAGCAGACCTGGAAATTCAATCCAGTGGTGAACAATGTTTAGCTGGGACTTTTATGTTCATAAATGAGATGAGAAGATGCTAGATCTATGCATGAATGTTCATATGAATAATTACACTTCTAAATGTTTAATCAGCTGCAGTATGATCAATGTCACCAGTTTTTGTAATCAATTCATATACTTCCCAACAAAACGAATGTGTTTAGGTTGGCAAAAAGGGAAGACGGTTAACTAAAAAATATTCTGTATTAGCGTTCTTAAAAAATATTCTTGTGTAATAAATTAAAATTTGAATTGTCAAGGTATAAATTACTGCATGCTTTCCTCACACTTCATTGCTCTAAATGAAATCTTCAAGGCAACTGTTGGAGACTATGATCCGGTAGTTGAGGACAATCCTCTCCTCTGGTCTGTATCCGCAAGCTCGGATGATCAAGTCTCCATCACAATGACTGGGAATTCATCCGTATTCTTGAGCCACACTCCAGCTTTAAAGACGGGTCCCAGTGGTGACATCCACCCATGGTGGAAACTCCCAGTGGAAGCTCGTTACTTACGGTAAGCTCATGAATCATATGACTTGAGTTATGCTTATATAATCTCTTTGTGTCACAGTGCCTCTCAGGATCACAGGATCCTGTGTCACTGGTTTCGAAATTACTTGACTTGGAAGCAGCAAAACGTGGACGTAACTTTCAAGGATGTGGTCAAGCACAACAATGAGACAAATGTGGTGCTTGTCAGTCCAAACAACATTTCTCTTGATAGCATGGTCTGCAGCTTTGATTGTAACACCATGATCTTGGATCACAAACTAATGTTAATAGCCATACACATGGTACAAGGTTCCTGAGGGAGAGACAATACCACACACTTCACCTTATTTGTCCTTGTGAACAAGATGATTGGTTTGGCACTCAAGTGGTCAACCAAGCTAGGAGATTCATGGTACTTTTGAAAAATGTGAAGAACTTTGCAAACTAACACTTTCCGAAACTTTGAGGACTCATTCTTAAAGAAACTTTTTTTAAATTTCCCTTTGCCATATGTCTTTCTTAGTTTGGCTATTCTATTTTTTAGGGTTAGGTTATAGGAGCACTGGCACACTTTGATAGTTACATTTAATGCTTCATTATAGTTGGTTGGGCATCACTTCACCTCAAGCCTAGATTTGCAAGCTTGATATGAAGGCATTGCATACATCCATGTTCGTGACAAAGATCCTCTTCGCCATGAGCGCATTCATATATTCTTGAATGGTTCCCACTTGCTTCAGTCTACTTAGCTCATCCTTTAAGTGCAAAATAGCATTTGGTAGAACATAGGTTGCACAGATCCTTGCCTTTATCATTTCCCAAGTGGCCACCGGTCTTTCGTTGGCCTCTGTTGTTTTCCACTAAGATTTAGTATTATCTCCTAAGTATAGTTTTGCACATAAGACTTTCTCCGAGTTCGGTAACCGCAACACTCGGAAATAATCCTTTATATTGTAAAACTAATCCTCTACCACCTTATAGTTGTTCACTCCCTTGAAGACTGGTGGGGGCTTTGGTTTGTACTTGGGAATTGTTTGGGGGATTGATTCCACTTTAATTTTTTTTAACTTTGTTCAGTTTTGCCTCAGTCCCCATTAAAAAGTCCACACCTTTTATGCTATTAGCATATATAGTTTTTTGCTTTTTCTTTCACTTCTCGTCATGTTTTAGTTTGTGTACGAGGGTCTTTAGTAGGGCATTGATTTGTGCCAATTGTCCTTCTAGAACGTCCAATCAAGCCTTGGACAATCGAACCTCTCCACTAAACTTCTGTTTGGAAGATTCTTCACTGAAGTCTTCTTTGTGCAAGGATTCCTCATCCATAGCTTCTTGTTTGATTGGAGGCTCCATCTCCACCTTAATTTTGTTATGCCCTGCCTTAGCCATCTCTCAACAATCCACTTTTATCCTTCACTAAAACTGAGGAAAAGGCTTTAATACCAAATTGTAAACCACAAAATTTTCCTTTTCAATTTGCTAGCTTACCTTATCTATCCGACTACCATGACTTTGGCCTTAGTTAAGTTCCTTCGCCAAGGTTCCTACCTATTGTACTACCTCTTACTTGGTTTTACTTGGTTTCAACTACTCACTACATGAACAATAGAGCATTACCCATCCGTCCATGGATTCCCAAATTCTTTCCCAATTAGACTTAAGGTTCGCCTATAGTCCCCACAAGCACAAGCAGTGAAGCACACTAAACCTCCAGATTTTTAACATCCCTTGGTATAACAACACTTGATCATGGGACCCCTAAATCCCAAGCCTTTGATGCATAACTTGCTTCGAGAAACTAGGGGAAAACATTGTGGCCTAACGGCCCAATATGGGTACCCCTACTCCCTCAATTCCATCTTGAAGTAAAGGCCTAAACCCCTAGAAAAGGTAAGGACCAATGAGTTGCAAAGTACTCAAATGGGGCATCACTTCACATAAGCCGGAAGCACCACAGTCAGTTTCCCTTCTAGGAGTGGGGGTTGCTCTTGAGCTCTTTCTTGGGTGGGCCTTTTGGCACCACTCGAGTCCATGCTCACTCCCACCCAAGGCCCCTAAGCCCCAGCCTCAACCTCAAGTTAGTTTAGAAGCACTATTGGAGAGTTCCTTCAAGATTGCTTCTTGAACCTCACTATCTCTACTATACTTTTGGAACCCTTGCAGCCCCCCCCCCCCTCGAGAGACACATACTTTGGTCTTTCACCCCACGACCTGTATTAGTCTCGGACTTGGTCTCAGACTCAATCTTGGACTTGACCTCGAACTCGGTCTCAAACTCGATCTTGGATTTAATCTCGAACTCAATCTTGGACTTGACCTTGGACTCTATCTCGGACTCAATCTTAGACTCAGTCTTGGACCCGATCTTGAATCTTGGACTCGGTCTCAAACTCGGTCTTGGACTCGGTGTTGAACTTAGTCTCGGATTTGGTTTCGGACTCGATCTCGAACTTGGTCTCAAACTCGATCTCAAAGTCAGTCTCGAACTCGATCTCAGACTCGATCTCATTTGATAAACTCTTTGTCATTTTGGTTGTGCTTTTGGCTAACGACACTTCGGGGAGTTGGTTTTTTACAAGAAGGCATAGACCCTTTGGCAGTGATTGAGTAAAAATTGAACAAAGTCGAACAAACCAAAATAGAATTAGTCTCTCAAGTAGTTCCCAAGTACAAACCAAAGCCCCCACCAGTCTTCAAGGGAGTGAAAGACTCTAAAATGGTGGAGGATTAGTTTTACAATATGGAGGATTACTTCTAAGCATTGCAATTATTGGGCTTGGAAAAGGTCCCATGTGCAAAACTATACTTAGCTAATAATGCTAAGTTTTGATGGAGAATAACAAAGGCTAACGAAGGATTAATAGCCATTTGGAATGATGAAGGTGAGGAACAATATAACTTATATTCCTCCAAATGCTACTCTTGAATGGGTTTATAGCCAAAAGGATCTTTGTCACAAACATGGGTGACATAGATGTGTTCCATGCTTTCAGGCTTATAGGCTTGGGCTTGAGATGAGGTGATGTGTTGGAATTTTACCAACTACAAGGAAACATTGGATGCAGTTATTAAGGTGCATTTCAATAATAACTTGCAAAAAGGGAACACAATATGATTGGGGTCCACATTAAGCAAAAGAGCCAAACCAAGGGGGCATATGGCAAAGGGAAATTCAAAATGAGTTTCTCTAAAAATGAGTCTTTAAGGTTTTGGGAAGGTAGATCTTGTGGCTAAAGAGCAAGTATGTGGGGAAGTCAGGTAAAAAGGGACAAACCCATTGATAAGAAAATAAAATTTACCAGCAACATGGGAAAGAATATTTGTTTCAATTGCAATGAAGTAGCACACTTTTCGAGAGAATGTCCCTACCTGAAAAAGGCCAGAGTCAATATAACCATCAAGTTGGGTGAAGTCTAAACTGAAGTATGTGATCCAGTCCTTAGCTCAAAGTTACTTATTACATAAACAATTTTGGTAGAGAGTTGTTCACGACATCAACTAACCCTCCAAAGGAAGCTTAGAGGTAACTTTGTTAAGATCTTTATTAAGATGGGTGCTTCAGATAATTTTATGGCTATAGATATAATCCAACAAGCCAGACTAATGGTGTAGTGGCTAGGTGAACTAAAGACTATAAAGTTTATTCAAGGTAGTTAAGCACCGATGAGGTACTTTGACAAACAAGAGTCGAAGTAGAAACATGAAAAGTGGATATGGATTTCACTGTATTAGACATAACGAGATTTGATGTGATTTTCGGGATGGATTAGTTCAATCAGTTTGTGGTAGCCTTGCATGGACAAGGTAAAAACCTTGTGGTACTGGCGAATGCCCGAGGAGAACGATCTAGGATTTAAAGGTAGGACAATGTAAGGCCAAAGACTCCTGTTTGAACTTAGTGTCCACAAGAGGACAATTCAATAAAGGAACCAAGGTAGCATTTTTATGTGCTTACTCTCAATGGGGAGTGACAAAAAGATAGGAATAGATGAAATATTTTTAGTGATACAGTAGGTGTTAAACCAATTTCGTGATACCATACCGGAGGAGTTACCGACAGAGTTATCCTCCACACGACTAATAGAATATAAGATTGAGTTGGTCGAGGGTGATAAGGCAGTGGTTTGTCCCCCCTATCAGTTGAACGAAAAGGAACTCGAGGAGCTCAAGTGCCAACTTGAGGAGTTAGTGGATAAAGGGTATGTTAGGTTGAGCAAGTCGCTGTATGGGGCACTAGTGTTATTTGTGAAAAAGAAAGATGGCTCTATGCATATGTGCATAGACTATTCGTTACTCAACAAGTATACAAAGAAGAACAAATGCCCTTTACCAAGGATTGAGGACATATTTGATAGGTTGGGAAAGGCCAAATATTTCTTGAGGATTGACCTAAGGTAAGGATATTACCAAATTAGGGTAATAGAGGAAGATGTCGAGAAGATAACTTATCGAACAAGGTATAGAAGTTTCCACTGCACATGCATAATCTCTAGAGGATCGGTCTACTGGATGTCATGTCGAACCTCATAAACTTGTGGTCCAACTTGCCGCAACACCCGATATGGTCCTTTCTACTGCGCAAGGAGCCCCTTAGATAAACCACGTATCGT